CATAAATTAATGTGTTATATTAGCAACTTACAGCTCACAATGCATAAATCCTTACGTAATTCTTCAGCTAACTGGTCAATTTTGACAGGATCCAAAACATCTTCTATAATTTCCTCGACTTCGTCAACCTTCTCACATAATTTACCGCCGCCAACTTTTCGAAGCTCAACCATCGAATCATCGAGAGTCTTGAGAAAGTACGTTCAGAAATTAGGCAGAAGAAGCAAAATGGAAGTGGATGATAGGGATATTGGACAAACAAAGCCGTCACTTGAAAATGATTTTAAAAAATATAAAAATTAGAATCTTTGATGATTACATCCTCATCAAAAAGTATCTGGTGGAGGTTGCAGAAATGAGACAATGAAAACTTATTCTTTTCCTCTACTGTAATCTGAGAGACATCCCTTCCATGGCTGCCAAGGCATGAATTACCTAGAAGTACGGTATTCTCACGTTGAGATCGCAACAAGATTTAGTAAATAAACACCTTTTTTAGGGAGTTCACAGTAACATTATCAAAGATTTTCAATGATCTAGCGTTTTCCAAATAGTCCACTATAATGTATCCTTTATATGGATTGGATTCCGAGAATTTTCTCATGAAGTATGTCTATAACCACACATATTTCCTCAGCTTCACTATTGTAAACAGCATTTAAGAAGTGATCTTGAACTTTAGACGAAGACCTACCTTTCGTGCAGGAAACTTTTCGGACGGAATTTTGGAAAGATGCTCGTAAATGGACACCTCGAAGTTATGTGACTACAAGTTGTTGTTCTTTGAGTAATCTTCAAACTAAGTAAATAAAAATTTACTCCGTTATTTTGACTGTATACAGTTGAGAAACTATCTAAATTAGATTTGAAGAAAATGTTCATATTTTAATATCAAAAAATTTTGTTTCGTTTGAAGCCTACCTTAACAACAAACTGTTTTGGAAGTTGCTTGTCCTTGTTTTGCCAGTCAAGATTTATGAGAACTAGCTTAGGCTCCTAAATATTTATGCAGACATACGATAGTGCTTTAAACAGACTAAAATCCCTTAGTATTCTATAGACAAAATATCTAACTCACTTTGCCAACCTCCACAACCTCTGCGATCTTATTTGGACCGAAAAAAGCGCTAGTTTGAACTCCCTCTGCAAATCTTCTTCAATATCCTCCCAAGTCACGTGTGTGTCAAGCAGTCCATTGCCAAAGATGCACAGACTCATTTTATTTAAAATAGGAGAAAATTTGGAAGAAAAGCATAGCAATAGTCAGTCGATCCCTATAAGCGTCATTTCACATATAATCTCTTCCATAGAAGTTCTTAAATTTGCGAATTATCAT